TAAAAAGACAATTAATATCAGAGTGACAGGTTTTGCTTCAAGTCTCGATAGCGCCTGGCAGTTAGGCAACACTTCTCGCTGAGCGGTGCGCCGCTGGGCGGCTGGCCTACCCTACGGTCGGCAGGGGTGCGAGGGAAAAGGAGACCGGAGTGAAAGGAACGAGAGAAATGTAAGTTGTGAAGCAGTGAAGCACTATCTGTCTCTGCCGAGACTTTCAATTGCTAATGAAACCCCCGGCGGTAAAAGCCCGGCGCTGCGCTGGTCGTATGGCGTATATCTCTCCTGGAACTGGGGCGGTCCGTCGTGTAGAGGGCCTCTGCCGTGCTGGCGTGAACTTGGCGGCGTTGACTTTAGCGGCGGCAGTGGAGTAGAAGGTGGTGGTGGTGGTGGTTGAAGCTGAAGGGGGCGTGGTGGGCGACGCACAGCCACCCCCCCCCCCCTTCCCCCCGCTGGGCGTACAAACAGTTTGCCTCGTCCTGTCTCTCTCGCTCTCGCACAAAATGACATTCCACCCCATCCTCCCCTCATCCACCACCACCACACAGCGATCAACAGGCGCCCTTACTTGGTCTGCGCCTATCTCCGTTTTCGTTGGGCTGGGGTGGAAATGCCATGCTCTTCGCGACGGTTCGGACGCGTAACCGGCGTAACCCTTCTCCATGTCTTGTCTTTGCCTCCACGCCTCTCCACTTTTCGACTCATATATCATATATCGTACTGATTCTGCCATTTTGTTTTTCAGGAACCTCCCTAAAGCTATATGTTTGGCTGTGCCGATGGTCACCCTGGTGTACGTGCTCGTGAACGCGGCCTACTTCATCGTGCTCACCAAGAGCGAGATGTTGTCGTCATTCGCCGTCGCCGTGGTGAGTCTCCTTTATTTTGTTTTCGCTCCACAAGATGCTCTTCGTTACACTGGTTTTGCCCGTCTTACGACTTTCCTTGTTCACCTGCTGCCTCCCCTGCTGTCCAGCTCTTCAGCAGCAAGACGATGCCGCTGGTGCCGTGGCTCGTGCCGCTGTTCGTGTCGCTGTCCTGCTTTGGCAGCATCAACGGCATCCTGTTCACGTCCAGCCGGCTGTTTGAGGCGGGCGCCCAGAACGGCCACCTCCCCAGCGTGCTGGCCCTGAGGCACGTCCACAAGCACACGCCCGCGCCCGCCCTCGTCATCACGGTATGTCCCATGGCGCTTGTGCCGCCACACTGTCTCAAAACTTTCCGAGGAGCCCTGAGTGTGGAGCTATACTCGAAGAAGAAAATGAAGCTGAAATTATACCTGAGCAGAGCATTCGAATGCGATCGTTTTCGGACGGCATAAAATATTGCGCCTAAACTTCTCTTCAATCATTTTCTTGCCAGTCGGACAGATCAGCTATCTCGCACTTCACACTAGACTAGAGTCAGCATGAGCTCACTTGGACTTCCCTCCCTCTGCTCGCGAAGAAAATCGCGAGCAAGCCGTGTTTTTTTGTGTTTTTTTTTCTGTTCGTGTTTGGTTCGCGTCCGAACGACATTCCTTTTACACCTGCTCCAGTTTACTGTTCGTTTCTCTCATCACGGTCCCTCTCGTCCTTCTCGTCCCTCAGGGCCTGCTGGCTGGCATCATGGTGGTGCTGGCGGACGTCAACACCCTCATCGAGTACATGAGCCAGGTGCTGTGGTTCTTCGTCGCCCTCTCCGTGATCGGCATGCTGGTGCTGCGCTGGAAGCAGCCGCACGTGCCGAGGCCCATCAGGGTCCCGCTGGTGGTCCCCATCACCTTCCTCGTCGTCTGCCTCAGTATCGTCGTCATCGGCGCCTGGGCAATGCCGTGGCAGACAGGTGCGCCTGGCGGGCGAAAACTAGATGATTGAGATACTACCCACTACCCTAAATTACATAATTATCTCGTTGCTAAAATGATTGGTCCGTTTTGTGTTTCCAGCGATGGGGCTCCTTATTACACTGTCGGGTATACCAGTGTACTTTATCGGAGTCGTCTGGACGAAGCCATTATGGATGCGCAGATTTGAAGGTGGGTTTCAGTTTTTTTTGTCGCCTACCTACAGAACAAAACGACAGGGAAGGTTTGAAGGAGTCTGTCTCGTTCGGTGCCAAAGGTGTGCAACTGGCATTCCCATGGTAGTATTCAACTGTATGGTTGCACTCTCTTACGTGATTGGACTGGAAATTTGAACACTTTGAAGTGTCCAAAGCTTCATTGGCCAACCCCGAAGTTGAACACGACCAAGCTACAACTTTACAGCTGAACACTTTGGTATTCAAATATCCAGTCAAATCCCTAAGAGTGTGCAACGTATTGTTAAACTCTTACATGTGCACGCCAGTTGCACTCTTTATTTATCAGGGTATCGTTTTGTTCGGCTTGGCTGGGTTTAATGATACACAGCATTAAATTTGCCTTCTTACCTTACCACCTTTGGTTACTGTGTTTGGACCAGTAGATGACAAGTACCGTGTTCTTTTTTTTTTCAGTGTCCCTCACGAAGAGATTACAGTGCATTCTGTTGGTTGGAGAGTAGCTCTTAATGTAGCATTTGCAGCAGGTGGAAACACTTGCAGCTTTTATAAGAGATTCAAACAACAAACATGACCTGAAGCGAATCTCTGCCTAATGTGATATTTTTTGTTGCCACGTTTCATTTGTAATATGGCTCTCATGACCGTAAGTTGTTTGAAACTGGTCTCTCTAAAATTTAAATGCTGTGAATTTTTCCAATAAGCCTAAAATATCAATATTCTTATTGATTTCTATCAATTGTTTTAATTTTTTTCACCATGGGTTTTAATGTTTGAGATATTTTTTTGACTTCTTTTTCTTGCTTTGTTCATCTCATGGAGTCAGACTCAACATTCCATAAATTTAACTGGCCTGTTCCAAAACGTTTCAAAATCTAGTGCCAGCATCATCTGAATTTGAAAACAAGCTTTGCAATCAGCTCAATGGCTC